CCTCCGTCCGTTGAGGTGCGCAATAACCCGTATTTCCTCTAGGTGGCAGAATCCCGCCATTGTTTAAAGCCCAGAATTCTAACCTTCCTTGTGATTTTGTTGACATTTTGTACTAAAAACTCAATAGCGCCCCCACCGTTTCCGGTTGTATTGCTCCGTATTGATCCGTTTCGTCCGTAAGCGTAAGCTCCCAATTTTCGTGTCAAAGTACAGACGAAATCGACGGTTAGAACGTATGAAGGCCCATTCATACCTCACGTAAAAGACGGATACGGATACGTGTGGAGTGTTTCATACGTTCTAACCGTCGATTTCGTCCGTACTTTGACACGAAAATGACACGGGAGCTTACGCTTACGGACGAAACGGATCAATACGGAGCAATACTACCGGAAACGGTGGGGGCGCTATTGAGTTTTTAGTACAAAATGTCAACAAAATCACAAGGAAGGTTAGAATTCTGGGCTTTAAACAATGGCGGGATTCTGCCACCTAGAGGAAATACGGGTTATTGCGCACCTCAACGGACGGAGGTATGAAGGAGTCAACGGATAGAACTTACAGACAGAAATACGGACGTGCAGGCCAAACGTGAGGTATGAATGGTAGTGATGGGCAAGTGAAGCCTCATGAAGCAATGAAGCTTTCCTACGCAAAGTGTTGAAAAAAGTTCATTACTCGATGCTTCATTCATCACTCACTAGTGACATCTGCTGGTGAAACTGTAACAGCCTTGTTACTCAGTTGGATCATACTTCCAAATATTAGGAAATGCAATATTGTCACAAAGTTTTCATCAAACTCATGTTTAGTAAGAGGAGAATCCTATTTAATTGTCATGTTTTAATGATTAAAATGATTTGTAGCCAATCTAATCCTTGACCATCAGTGGTGGTGTTAGGTTTTCTTTTATGTCATGGACTTATTAGACAATGAAGATATGTGTTACTTTAATGTATTGAGAACTGAGTGACTGTTGCTGCAGACTCTGTATACTTTGAGCTTGAAACTTGATTCCTTAAAGACAGAATGTGTTTAAAATCATCTCTTCCTAAGAGTTCCAGTTCTGATTCTTAATATTAAGTTACACATAGAGTTTGCCTCTTCTAATGGCTTAGGTTTTGATGGTTTTGGTTTTGATGTGTGATTCTGATGCATCTCCTGATTAAACAAAAGAAAATATAGAAATTTCTGGATTTTAGGTTTAATTGTTTTTATTTAGGAATAGGACTTTTTTCACTGTTTCAGGTTGTGATTGTGATCTGTCATCTCATAATACTCCCACATATGAGAGGTTTTTCTCTTTTTTGACGGCTCCATTTAAACCACTGCTGATGAAAACTGTTCTGCTGATACCAAACCACCTACTACAACCCACGGAGCAACAGGATTCATCGCGCTTTTATTTTGAAAACCGACACGCAAAATGAAGCAGTCACGTGACCAATGCAATGCGAGGCCTCGTTTGTTGCCAGTCACGTGGTTTTCAACAAGACAACACAGGCCTCGAAGCGGGGCTTCATTGACACGCCCCCTTATTACTCGGTACAAGCCTCGAAGCCTGGCTTCAGATAGCCCATCACTAATGAATGGCCCTTAAGGATGCGTCCTAGGTTTTCGAACAGAGCATTAGTCTTCCAATGTCCATCCATCCATTTTCTGACACACTGATCTGCACAGAAAACATGGCGAGACAGCAGCAGGTCCTGCTGGCGAGGGTTCAGAAATTTAAACATCTAGAACCGTCCTGTGATTCAGCTGAGAATATCACCACAAATAACATTCATCTTCTGTTACGCTTATCCCAAATGGGGTCTCATGGGGTGCTGGTGCCTATCTCCAACTCTCTACAGGCGACAGGTGGAGTCCATCCTGGACAGGTCACCAGTCCATCGCAGGGCAGCATGGAGACAAACAATATTCACACTTAAGAAGAATTTATAGAAGCGAATTAATCTTACACTCATGTTTTTGGACTGTGGGAGGAAGCCGGAGTACCCGGAGAAATGCTCAGGATGCAAGGGAAAACATGCACACTCCATGCAGAAAGACCCCAGGCTGGGAATCAAACCCAGAACCATGTTGCTGCAAGGCAGCAGTGCTACCCACTGCCCCACCGAGCTGCCTGCTTTTTATTTGCTTTCTTTTATATCTAAAAAGAGAATTTTTGCAAAGGACAACAGAATAGAGATTTTGGTCTAAGCCTTAAAGTTAAACAAGTTCAAATCACTTCCCAAAAAACAATACAAAACATTTTTAAGATTTAATGACCCCTTCTTTGTGTTACAGATATAAAACCTAATAATTTTATTTCATGAAACAATGTTTTTAGAAAAACAATAAATTAAAAAACAGCCAAATCTGTTTTGTGGTGATCTTCAGTTACTTTGCTGCTTCAAGACTTGAGGAGAAGCTGCTGAAGTATGGAGTAAATTTTGTGCCATTATTATTTACAGCAAAAGAACTCACTTTTTGAATGGAAAGGAAAAAAAATGAGTAACTGAATTTTGAAAAATGTTTAAAAATAGAAATAATTTTTTTTTTACAAATGTATTTTTTTAGTTAAAAAATGTTCTTATATTTTTACTTTTTTCAAATTTCTGTTTTTTTTTAGGTGGAGTTTTACGAATTACGTTATTTTCAAATTGCCTTTTACAGAGCACTCAGAGCATTTGTATTGGGGTTGATGTGATGTTTAAAAGAAAATTGAAAATAAAAATTATTTTGATATAATAAAATTAAAATATCTGAAAACAATTAATGTGAAAAAGAAAATAGGAACTTATAAATATAAATAAATAAAAAGAAATCAGTGAAGTTAGCTTGTGAACCTTTGCGGATTAAACCGTTTCTCCAGGTTTTATGCCTGAATGTTTTTTTTTTTTCAAATTTCCATTTTATTTTTTTATTCTTTTTAACAGTGTCCTGTCTGGCAATGTGGCAATAACAATATTTGTCTTGATGTCAAAAAGAGCCCGACAGATTTTACTTTCACAAGTGTAGCAGTATGGCAATTGCCATATTGCTCCACTTGTTTCATGCATATAAATTGCTTTATTATAATTATGCAGGGAGTTTTACAGTTTATATGTACGGAAGAGGATTAGGGCCACTGAAAAAAAAAAAAAAAGTTAACAGATTTTATTTTATTTCAGTTTAGTATTGGAAAAAAGTCAGAATTCTGACTTTAATCTCAGAATTCTGACTTTTTTTCTCAGAATTCTGACTTTTTTTATTGTCAGAATTCAGTCAGAATGCACCGGCGAGCCCCGACGCCAGCCAGCGGATGGAGAGCAGGACGGGGGGAATGGGCTCCGCACTTAGCGGAGACTGGAGATGTGTTTGGGAGAGGGGGCAGTTCAGACCCCAACCTGGGAGAAAAAAAAAAAAAATAAATAAATAAATTTAAAAACTCACAATCTTAATCACGCCTTCCCTCCCTAGTGCCCCCACTCGCACCACAGAAAAAGAAAAAGAAAAAAAAAATGCGGACACGCATTCACACATAACACTCACATCCAATAATACCAGGACCAAAGACCCGGCGGCACCGGTGGTTGGTCCCGGGTTTATCGGATGACCCAATAAGTGAACCTAAAATCCGGATGGGGGGGAGGGGAAATTTCCTTTTAACGTTCTTTGCTTGCAACAATAATGGACCAAAATTCACCCCATATAGAAAACAAATCTTCTTGTGACCGTAATTGTCAAAGTGGGGTCCACCCCTGAAAACTATAGGGAAAGTAAATTTTGTTTTACAAAATGAATTTTTTAACAGAGCTATCATAAAATAGATATTTTTATCAATGTCATAAAACATACCTTCTAACTATTACATCACTGCATCTGAGCACAAAGACTTTTTATATTATCTGAAGCTTTAATGCTCTGAAAATCATATTTCTAAAAGTGTTTAGCTGCTTATTTACGACTCCTTTTCAAGTTAGTTAATTATTTCTGCTCGGAAATATGAATTCAGAATAATACTCGGCCGAGTCAATGCTTTAAAAGTCTCTCTACGAGTGAAAGTGGAAAATAAACCTTTTTGAAATGTTTAAGAATTGTTTTCAAAGTTATTTTGCATCATTTAAGGCAAAAACATTTTATATTTAAGTAGAATATTGAACATGTAAATTTTTACTTTGTGTGAGTTCAGTCAAAATTCTTAGTAGATATGTTTTTATAAAGATATCTGTAATTTTACTTTAGTAAAAAATATGAATACATTTGACATCTCTGCATTTAGTAGGAAAATGTTAAACTAAAAAAAGGGTCTGCTATACATTCTTCTACATTATTTTATGAGATATAATAAAATAAAAAGTTGTTTCTTATATTTTCATTGGTTTAAAATTGAAAATGAATGACTGATACACTGATTGCTGACGGTGCTGCTTTATGACAAGAACTAACTAGAATAGATAGAATTAAATGTAATTTTATCTTTACTGGTGGAAACCAGCTCATTTAGAGGAATCCTCTTTAGAGCATAGCTGATAATTAGTATTTGATTATCCCATCAATTGGTTTTTCGATTCATTTAAAAAATACTTTTAATAAACAAATAATCCTAAATTAACATTTGAAACATAGAAAAGCAACCTTTATTGCATACTTTTAATGAATTGGAAATGGCAAAATGCAAAACAATATAGATTCATTCATTAATTTATTTAAATAATTTAATATTTAATGTAAATTGTACATATTTTGTGTATATAGTAGAGTTTTGTCTTAATCACTGGTGTAAGTAGGTTATTCTTTCAGCAGATTGTATGTTTTAGAGTCTGTGTACTATTACTCTAAGTAAGGATCGTTTAAGCTATCTACTCCAGAGGCACTCTTTCTTTTTAGACATTTTGGGGAAAATATTGTTAAAGATGCAACTTTCACAAAAAAAGCGAATTTATTTCTTTTATTTTCAGTTTGCCAAGAGGTTTAAAACTTAAAAACACGAACATCTCCTCTGCCACTCTGTAAAAGTAAATGAACAGATGACATTTTGTGTACTTCATATTGCACTTTATTCAGGTCTATGGAGGCAGAACTGGATCGGGATCTTGTTGCTGTCACAGATCAACACTTATTGCTTCCCACTTTCTTGTAAGCACCAACCCAAACCAGTCTCAAGTATTCCCACGGAAAAACAAAAAAAGAAACAAATAACTATAAGTGATTTGGAAAAGAAACTATAAAACCTGTTAGTGTGTAAACCAAACGCAACAGGAAATACTGCACATCCTGTCCTGCTGCGTACAGAAACAGCACTGGATGAGTCGGGTGGACAAAGAGGCTTCAGACGACACAACATGCAACAATCAAATGAAAATAACACACAAAGCTGTCCCTATGTCATCTGATGGGGCGAAATAAAGGCCTCGTTTTCTCTACAAACATCTAAAGTTACAACATGGCTGAATATGGATCCTTGAAAGTGACCCGTTCTATGGCGCAAACGTCACCTGAAGAGCGTTCTGTTGGAGGGTCTGCAATGGAAGTACAGGAAGATCTCTCACAGTTTATGGTTCTTCGAGAAAAGATGCCAACTTATCTGTCACCTACATTTTATTTAGTGGCTCCACAATCTCAAAAATGTACCTTTATGATACCAAAAGCAGCTCTGGTTATTTCTTTTATATTTCAAAGAGGTTAAATGTGCACCTATATGTGTAAAATAAGATTCTTGGAGGTAAATGTGGTTAGAAATCAACCCTCTAACCAGTTAAAGTTTTAATATAACTCTAAGGTAACTTTCTTACTAATCCCAGGGTGGTTCAAAGTTACATTTCTCCAGCTGAAAGTTTTTCCTCATCAAAGCTGTCAAAGTTTTATAAGAATATGATTTTCTATGTCGTCCCAGGAGAAAAGTGCAGGCGATGAGCTGTAAACTAACTTGAATGTTGCATTTAAGTGCGCGCTGTTAGATCCCGTGAAAAAAAGAAAGCAATGAAATGGAAACAAAAACGTTTGTTCTTCTGTGTGGAGGCTGCTAATCTTTTCTATTTTCTGCAAAGCTGCCGTTCATCATGTATGAGTCGTGGAAACAATGCTTCAAACATCTCTATTATCGTTAGTACAACTTGAGATTGCATCACCACCGCTAAGAGCCAAAATCACTTCATATTTTTAGTCCTAAATATAGAATTAATGCTTTCATTAAATCTACTAATGCAGATTTTGTCTTTAAAATACCTACTGGTTAAAAAAAGTAATCTATTTCTTGGTAATTTATATCCTATTTCTCTTAATCTGTTAGGTTAATCAGTTAATGACTAACTCCAATTAGCATGTTCTAATGGTTATATGCTGCACAGCCAGCAGAGGGCAGTACATCTCAGTTTCAATCTACAGAACTGAGTCACTTCATCTTTTCTTAGATAAAAAGGACAATCGGGTCACATGTTCAGGACAGGTCACATGATAAGGGCTGCACAGTGGAGAGGGGATGGCCTCAGTGGTCCAGGATACGCAGGTTGCCAGACACTATTTTATTTTCCAGCATGGAACCGGCCGGGATATCGATCCGATCTCCGTGGTTTGCGATGATTATGACGGTTCCCTGTCAAAAGGAAGAAAGAAATGTTAATTTAATATTAATATTAATTTCACACCGTGAGACTTTCTGCCTTCTCTGCTTCATATTAATGAGGTGATCTAAACCGTTCAATCTGGGCATCACAGAGATTGCACACAAGCCCACCACCATTGTTCTGTCAGACCAGCATACCCATACTCAATACAAAAACACATACAAAGATGTAAATTTATATCGCTATACGCTTCAAAACACACACCAAAAAGTAAGTAATTAAACTGAATAAAATTTTTTGCACATAACTAAAGGGATACACGCCCGTTGAGGTAGTTTAAAGTGTATTTTTCGTACAAAATTAAAGGGATAAATGCAAATCTGACGTCTTGAGCATGTGTGTTGACTATGGGTATGCTGATCTGACAGAATGCCGGCTGTAGTACAACATAGTGGTGACAGCATCATGCTGTGGGGAAGAATCTCGTTTGCAGGGAAAGCAAAGCTGATCAGAGATGCAGGGAAGATGAGGACAATCTGTTTGCTGGTGAAGGTTCACCTCCCAGTGGGACAGCCTTTAAACGCCTAGGTTCGCCGCAGCATCTCGTTGGCTCGTTTATAGGAACTTATCATATGCCTCGAGGAGACGTTTTTCATTCATAGAAAATGATTTCCTTTTTCCAGTCATGATTCGCAAGTTAGTTCTACTTGCCCAGTCGTCAACTTTTTACATTTGCTAGCTAGGCAGAAGCAGATGCCCAGACAGGAATCACGGGAGTAAAAAAATTAAATAACCAGGCTACACGCAATTTAAAAATAATTTTTGCACATGTTTGCGTTCCTAAAATGGCCAAAAATCAACACTATAGGTGGATTTTCTGATTACTATAAACAAATTATTTAAACAGCATTCGTATAGAAATTATTACCTGAATGAATTTGGCCCCCCCACCTTCTTGAAATCAGACAAAATCAATGTCAAACATTTGTGCTACTTTTGTGCTGGTTTGTGCGGCAAAAATGTTCATTTGTGCTGTTTTAGCTTTGAAGATATTAATGATAGGGTAAAGGTCAAAAGGTCAACCAGCCCACCCAGGTTTGCTGCACAAACTGAGTCGAGTTAATTGACACCCATTTTGTCTGATTCGAAGAAGGTGTGGGGGGAGGGGGGCTGGTTGACCTTTGATGACCTCTAGAAACATTTCCTTATATCTTTAAAATGATAGCGGTACAAACGAAAATTTTTGCTGCACAAACCAGCACAAAAGTAGCAAACGTTTGACACTAATTTCATCTCATTTGAAGTGGGTGAGGGGGCCAACTTCACTCAGGTGAAATGATTCTGTCCCAAGCCTTTTGAACACTATAAGCGGTTGATTACTATATCCGTGACCACTATAAGTGGATTCCACTGTGTATCATAAAGGAGAGTTTGATAAAAAAAAAAAAAGGTACGCTACATTCTTTTTAATTTCTTCCTTAAATGTCAGAAAATTCCCTCAAATGTGTCAGAAATTCTGTCTGTAATCTTAGAAATTGTGAAAAAGCTCCAGCGGTTACAGTAACTACTTATAATTTGTCCATTTCCACCTTAAATTCATCTTCATTAAACTATAGTGCAGTTTGGAGAGAGCAGAGAACCGGTTGGCCTTTATCCTCTGCTGGATAAAATTAAAACACTACAGAAATTCTTTACAGTCGATCGAGGCGAACGCGATCAACTCACACACCTTCAGCGAGACGTTCTTCCCAAATGTGACGTCTCCAGAGACGGTCAGGTGGTCCAGCTCCAGCATGTCAGGGATGCTCTCAAAGCGGGTCAGGTACTCCTGAACCTGAAGGAATAAAAAACAAGTGTGTTTATCTGGAGCTTATCTTTATGGTTTAAAGGATGAAGCAGGTATTCATCTCTAACTATGACTTATTATACATTATCTCAGTACCAGACACATCTAACGCACTTCTAAAACTGCATTTTAAGGAGAAATCTGATATAAAATTAAAAAAGGAATCAAATCCAAAAACATCTTCAACATCAGGAGTCTTTCTGGTCCCACCTTGGTGAAGGAGCTGCCCAGTTTGACGTGAGGCGTCGTTGGGAACTCTCGTTTGGGGCTCATGGTGAGGGAGCCGGCATCCAGGCTGTAGAGGTTAGACATGACCAGCAGCAGGTCAGACGTGGTCTTGACCGGAAGGAAGCGGCTGCGGGGAACATTTATTCCCAGGGCGTTGTCGAAGCATTTGATTGCCGCTCCAACGGCCGTCTCCAGCTGGACGACGTTGAGCCCTCCATCAAGCGTCTGAGGGGAAATTATCAGACAATCATTGGGATGAAACTCACAGTGACCTCATAAAAGTTTTGGCTTTGCATTAGACTCAACACAACATTTTCTTTCATTTAGTCTTCTCTTTCAGGATCTGTCACTCTGGTTACACTTAGCCAGAACCTAGAGGTGCTGTGGAAAAGAAGCAGACATTTTGGAAACCTTCATTCTTCTAAGCAATGACTGAGATTAGCTTATGCTCAAACTAGCTAACTTGGAGAGCCAAATGAGTAAATATGTAACAACAACGATGCAGCAGATTCAGGTGTTTCTCAAGGGTCAATCCTGGGACACACTGTTTTTTCTACTTATGGTCTTGGGTTAGGGCCAAGTTCTATAGATCCACATATGATCACCTACTATGCAGATGATATAATTTACACAGAGGCCAAAAGGTTCATTTTTTCAAATTTTTTCTAAGTTCTTGGACAAAATAAAAAATTTACTCCCAAAATAGTCTATTTTTAGACATTCCTGTTGATTAGTTTTTAACTTTGCAGTTACTTCATTAGATGATACTTGTATTAGAGGGCTCTATAGGTATAATGGCATCTAAACCCATATTGATAATGGATTCATTTCGCTGTTAGGAAACCATTAAATCATAGCACATATTTTAATGACTGGTGATACAATGTACATCAATGCACATTAAGTGCTGCAAGTGTCCCCAACCTTTTGCCAAAGGCAAGGCAAGGCAAATTTATTCATATAGCACAATTCAGTACAAAGACAATGCAAAGTGCTTTACATGATTAAAATATACACTCACCGGCCACTTTATTAGGTACACCTGTCCAACTGCTCGTTAACACTTAATTTCTAAGCAGCCAATCACATGGTGGCAACTCAGTGCATTTAGGCATGTAGACATGGTCAAGACAATCTCCTGCAGTTCAAACCGAGCATCAGTGTGGGGAAGAAAGGTGATTTGAGTGACTTTGAACGTGGCATGATTGTTGGTGCCAGAAGGGCTGGTCTGAGTATTTCAGAAACTGCTGATCTACTGGGATTTTCACGCACAACCATCTCTAGGGTTTACAGAGAATGGTACGAAAAAGAAAAAACATCCAGTGAGCGGCAGTTCTGTGGGCGGAAATGCCTTGTTGATACCAGAGGTCAGAGGAGAATGGCCAGCCTGGTTCGAGCTGATAGAAGGGTAACAGTGACTCAAATAACCACCTGTTACAACCAAGGTGGGCAGAAGAGCATCTCTGAACGCACAGTATGTCGAACTTCGAGGCTGATGGGCTACAGCAGCAGAAGACCACACCGGGTGCCACTCCTTTCAGCTAAGAACAGGAAACTGAGACTACAATTTGCACAAGCTCATCGAAATTTGACAATAGAAGATTGGAAAAACGTTGCCTGGTCTGATGAGTCTCGATTTCTGCTGCGACATTCAGATGGTAGGGTCAGAATTTGGCGTCTACAACATGAAAGCATGGATCCATCCTGCCTTGTGTCAACGGTTCAGGCTGGTGGTGGTGGTGTCATGGTGTGGGGAATATTTTCTTGGCACTCTTTGGGCCCCTTGGTACCAATTGAGCATCGTTGCAACGCCACAGCCTACCTGAGTATTGTTGCTGACCATGTCCATCCCTTTATGACCACAATGTACCCAACTTCTGATGGCTACTTTCAGCAGGATAATGCGCCATGTCATAAAGCTGGAATCATCTCAGACTGGTTTCTTAAACATGACAATGAGTTCACTGTACTCAAATGGCCTCCACAGTCACCAGATCTCAATCCAATAGAGCATCTTTGGGATGTGGTGGAACGGGAGATTCGCATCATGGATGTGCAGCCGACAAATCGGCGGCAACTGTGTGATGCCATCATGTCAATATGGACCAAACTCCCTGAGGAATGCTTCCAGCACCTTGTTGAATCTATGCCACGAAGAATTGAGGCAGTTCTGAAGGCAAAAGGGGGTCCAACCCGTTACTAGCATGGGGTACCTAATAAAGTGGCCGGTGAGTGTAGTGAAAAGAAACAGAATAAAAGCAAGTAGGAAAAAATAAAAAAATAAAGTAAAAAATGCAGAAACAAAAAAGAATATTAAAAACAATTGGGCTAAAGAAAATATGTTTCAGTTGAACTGTTTAACTAGAACAGTCGAAGGCAATCCTAAACAAATGTGTTTTTAGTTTTAGTCTTGATTTAAAGGAACTCAGGCTTTCCGCACTTTTACAGTTTTCTGGAAGTTTGTTCCAGATAAGTGGAGCATAGGAACTAAATGCTGCTGTTTAGTTCTGGTTCTAGGTATGCAGAGCAGGCTGGGGCCAGAAGACCTGAGTGGTCTGGAGGGTTGATAAACTGATAGCAAGTCTGTGATGTATTTAGGTGCTAAGCCATTCAGAGATTTATTTACAAAGGCTCCTGCAGACAGGCTCCAGCCCAAGAAATAGAACAGGGATGACTGAGTGAGCATGACCTAAAGTACGACATACTTTTTTTCTTATTTGTGATCTAGGGTTAGGGTCAAGTTCCATAGATCCACATATATTTACCCACTATGCACATGACAGTATGATTTATACAGAGGCTATTAGCAATTAGGTTGAAAGCACATTCAACTTTTTCTTTTACATTTTGGGTTGAGTTAAAACTGTTTTTTTAACACCAAATTAGTACTAAACATACCAATCATGGCGCGTTAAATGTCTTTAAAAATGGAAAGCCTACCAATAGTTTTACACTACACAACTGGATATCACTTCACTTATATCTAAATGTATATTTTTAAAGCACCTAATAACTAGTTACAACCATACCTGCAGATTGCTCAAATGTTATTGAATTGTATACACGCTCTAGACAGTTCCCTTGTTTAATAAACACGTTTTGTTTTCCCGGTTAGTGTTTTGGTTGAGGTTCTTGCCGGGGCTGCTAATCTATTAATCTGTTGATTATTTTTTCGATTATGCGATTAAGAATCAGATAGACAAAGGGTCCGTTTGCGAAATGAAACCAGGTGAAACTTAAACTTTTTCACTTGTGAGGATCAGGATAGAGCTTATTGAAGGAGAACATTTTATAAATCTTAATTGCAAAAGGTTTATATATATTTTTTTACAATCTTGGTCTAATTACTGCTCTAAGTTGGTTGCTCTGTCACATAATAGCATTATTTTGAGTCTCTATACACTAGTTAATGAGTCATCAATTACTTAATGGTGATTATTTAAATAATCATCAACTAATTAATTGTTTCACCTCTAGACGTGTTCACAAATGCTTTAATGTCCGTTATTACTCAATAATGACTCTTTGTTTCATTAATGAGGTTAATATGTTCAAAATCATGTTATTTTTTTATCTGATTCAGTCATATTTTGTGTCACCTGAACCTGAAACCCTTTCCTTCAGGACCTGCACACTCCAGCCCCTCTCCAAAGTGCATTTTACCCGATATGATCTAATAAAATGAACAATAAAAGCAAGAGGCATCAGCAGTGTCTGCATGGTGGAGGTGCTAACAAAGCCATAGTTAAGGATGTGGTGAAGCTTCTTCAAACCACACAGAGGCTCATAATCGACTACAATTTACTGTCTGAAAGCCTTCTGCTGAAAGGCTGCTGGGGACTAAGAGCAAAGTAATGATAGTAGGCTGGGGTACACGTTTGCCAAAGGCTCTTATACAACGTTCAATACCTTCATGCGTGATTTTACCACGCATGAAGGTAGAGAAAAAACAGAGTCCTCTACTTATGGGGAGCCGTGAGGCTCTGTTCATTTATTGCTCCTTACATAAAACACAACTTTATCAGAGTGAGCTCTGTAGAGCAACGAGGATTACATCTGCATGCTCCTCTGAGGCAGCAGTGAACAAGAGGGAGGCCAAGAACTTATGAACATTTTCATATCCTGCAGTAATTTCTGCTAACAAGGAAAGGCTGAGGGAGTGAAGGTCAACATCACATCTTTAGACCTTTCTGTTCAGGTCCTTCTAACTAAAATGCTGAATTCTTTTTTTTATACACAGTTGTTTTTTTTATTGTTTTATAACTTTTCATTTGTCGTTAGGAAACAGGACAAAAAAAAAAATAGGAACAAAACATGAGAAGAGTGTCTCTAGCAACAATAACCCTCATTCACTAAAAACAGTGAGGTTAACAGACCCTATGGGCTTAACACACTTGGCCCGTTGTGGCCATATTCTGCAGAATTTTGAATTTAAAACTAAATAATCCTTGAATTATGTAGATTTCTAGAATAATGTTGACCCATTCGATTGGTTGCAGGGGCTGATTTTAGCCACTTCCTAGTTATGGCTTTAAAAAGAGTTTCCTGAACAAGAACTTATTTTCTCTTTATTTAAAGAAAAGTATCTGCCAGGTAACATGATTAAAATAAGGTATAAGACACCTAAATAAATTATTAATATTATCATATATTTGTGACCAAAAGAAAGGCTCCCAATGGAAAATATTGGCCTCTGTTGTGCCACAAAGTCTCCAGCATGAGTCTCCATTGCCTAAATGTCTCTTCTGAATAAGTATGATAAAAAAAAAAAAAAAAAAACACCTGCTCAAACACTATTTAGGCCATGCGTTAGACTACAGGATTTAACATACAGTTTTTATTTGGGATCTGCAGATTACCCTCTATTGCCATCTTCTCATAACTTTTTACAGCATTAGATCGTTTTATACGATGTGGATATTAATTTGTTGTGTGAATAAGTGTAAATTAAGATATTTTTATCCCTTTCTACTTTTATGCTTTAATGGAAAAAAAATTCTAACTTGCAAGTAATCCTCGTCTTTTAATCTGAAGTCATTTCATAGTAATTCAAAACTCTTGACATTTTCCAAGACATCTAGATCTTTTTTTTGTTGTTGTTGTTGTTGTTGTTTTTTTGTTTTTTTTTGACAAAAAACAATATGGAAATTGATCAATATCCTGCTAAAAGATCCAACAATGATTCATTTCAGCTGTTCATGTAGAATCCACCATACCCATTGTTCTGGTAATAAACAAGTTAACAGGTTTTTAGGCCCAGCCCATCACAGCTCCTCCACCATGCCTAGCAGTGGGCAGAAAGTTTCCCACATCTTCACTCTTCGCTTCCATCAAACCCTCCTGAAAGCCCAGTAAAGCCGTCCTCCTGGCATCACTCCTAAAACGATATGTTCTTCTGTTTTGCCCATTTTGAAAAGAGGCTGATAAATGGGAGACTGAGTCAGATGTTATTTATAGTTGCTGAATTTTTGCCTCATTTTTCCAATCAAAGACGTCACTCATGTATCTTTCTTTCAAGTTGTGAAGACTGAGCTCATTATGGTTAAAATTAACTAATGTTTTTTTTTTTTTCTTTGGCTGCTTTATCTTAAACTGTTTATTCTGTCTTTTCACGCTTTGTCATTATGGTGATGGCTATCTTTGAATCGGCCGTGGAATATTACACGGATGTCAAACCTCTGTGACTGGACTTAAAGGAATAGTACACCCAAAACATGATTAGCCTTCATTTTCTACTCACCCCCATGCTGAACAAAACTCTGGAGTACTTTTTTGATATCTCAAATGCATCTGGAGATCTGGGAGGCTTCTTGCTGTCTGCTGACATTCAAATAATGGAGGTCTATGGCGCCCGAGACAGAAAGGTCCACAAAAGTCCACAAAAACGTGTCAATATTCCTCCATACTGCTCGTCCAATGTAATCCAAGTGTCCTGAGTGGGTAGCATCCAGAATTTACTCGAAACGAAGTCATTTAGAACGTTTTAGAGCCTAAACAGTAGTGTATAGGATTTCCTAATAGCGCCCCCATGCGCGCTCACGATTCTACGGAAGCCGGCAGACCAAACCGGAAGGAAGTGCGCATTCAGCGTCTGCTCTGCCGATAATGCAAGCGTAGAAGAAGAAATGTGCTGTTTACCTGTGCAAAGAAAGAAACAACGAAAGAAAAATGTCTGAGGACTTCAGTGTTGAGGAAGAGCATGAGTTCTTTGCCGAGCTGAATGCGCTGGTTTGGTCTGCCGGCTTCCGTAGCGTCGTGAGCGCGCATGGGGGGCGCTATTAGGAAATCCTATACACTACTGTTTATGCTCTAAAAACATTCTAAATGACTTCGTTTCGAGTAAATTATGGACGCTACCCACTCAGGACACTTGGAATACATTGGACGAGCAGTATGGAGGAATATTGACACGTTTTTATGGACTTTTATGGACCTTTCTGTCTCGGGCGCCATAGACCTCCATTATTTGAATGTCAGCAGACAGCAAGAAGCCTCCCAGATCTCCAGATGCATTTGAGATATCAAAAAAGTACTCCAGAGTTTTGTTCAGCATGGGGGTGAGTAGAAAATGAAGGCTAATCATGTTTTGGGTGTACTATTCCTTTAAGCAAAGAAACGAAAACAAACAGAAGCGGATGGTGTTTCTTCTAGACCAGGGGTAACCAATTAAAAAGCAGCAGGGTCCGAATAAAGGTAAACATCAACCAGTAAAGGTCCGGAGACATTTTTTTTTATAATCTATTACTTTTAACAGAATTTAACACTGAAATAAAATGAGGTTTTTATGCATACATGTTCTACATAGACTTTCTAAATAAAAAATATAAAAAATAGAAAGTTTTTCCATTTTAAAATCTAAATTGTTTTGGAATTGGGAAAAAACAAACGTTTCCTGATTCATATATTTTATAAAACACCTGAACTGAACGTTTGTTATTTTTCTTTCTATTTTCTGTCTTAATGAGAGCAGTGGGCTTTATGCTGCCCTGCAAGGCTTTAAGCCTGGTTTGAATGGAGACTAAGCCATTCTCAAGCACATATCAAGGAGCTCATTTTGAGCCTGGATTGATATTCATTTTTGATTATATTAATGGTGGAGAATCCTGCTTCACAGCAGCAGGTTGAGCCAAACATCCTCTAAATGTTCAGGGTCATCTTTGAGCACCATTTCACTTTTCTTTCACCAGTTCACCACAGTTCTTCCAGCAGTCTACACTTTCTCTGCTCTCTTTTTCTCATCATCTTCTCCTTCTTTCCCGTCGCCCGGCTTACTACAGGTTTGTGTCTAAAAGTAGCAGCAGCAGCAACCCAGACTGACAGCAGCTATTGGCTGATTTGTATCACGTATAGCCTGGTGCCAGTCGCTCTGGAGGGCTTTTTCATATTAACAGGAGAAGCGGCGCAAATGAATTTAGACATTGCCGTTGGACAACATGCAGTAATTTATAAATGTTTGAAATCAGGTTGGGTCCGGATTAGCTAGCAGGTGGGTGGGGGTTCCAGAACCTGGTCCGCTAATCCGTGAACTCTGCTCCAGAGGCTCTGGAGTAAGATAAGAGAGCAGCCGCTGTCCGACTGAGAGATGAGACATTATCACTTTAATAGGCTATGATTGGCTTTAGCTAAAGCCGTCCAGTGCAGTCCAATGGGACCAGAGTAACAAAGTGTTTCATGTCCTCCTCCCTCACCTTTGGGTTGACGATGATCTCCATGTCCATTGCATTCTGTTCCTGCAGCCTCTTGATGGCAGGCAAAGAGATCCAAAGGTTGTTGGTGTTGAAGATCTTAAACTTGGAAACCGACTTGAATTCGTCCACATGAGATTTGGGAACCTGGGCGATCTCAAGGAGACGAAGCTTTCCTTCATATTGGATCAGGGTGCCTCCCTGGGAACACAAGAGGTGACAATTGTGATATTAGAAAATATGAAAAATAAGAGACTCGTTACTTATAAACAACCAAGTTGAGGGTCATGTACCTTGACGTCAGCGCGCGTCTTATCCGTCACCTCCATGACGAACTCGCAGCGTTTGCCGTTGGGCTGGCTGACCAGGTGGTGCAGGATGTGCAGGTCCACGGTGGCTCCCAGGTTGTCTATGTTGGACACAAAGATGTACTCCTTTCCCTGCTTGATCAGCTGGTCCAGCAGGCCCGAGTTGTAGAAGCTGGCGTAGATGTCGCCGTGACCGGGAGGGTACCAGCCGTCCGCGTTTTGGCCCGTGACGTTCAGATTAGCAGCTACGGGGAGGAGAGACTCCTTGTGGATGCGGGGATACCTGGACAGGTGTGATAATAATGGGGTTGATTGAGGAAATATTCAGTTTCTCTTTTCGTTTTCCAACACCACTTTAAATAATCTTCATACATTCTATATCTGTCAGTGAGGAACGAAGCTCAGCTTTCTGAGCCATCATAAATGTGAGCCTTAGACAGATCAAAGCATTTCTACCAAGGATTCACGTCACATTGCTTCACTTTTCACCAGGAGTCACGCTGGAGGGGGACTGGCAGTTCGAGGAAATTCAGACCCACGTGAGCTTATTAGGAGAAAAGATTTAGAAAGCAGAAGGAGGAAGGTCTTATTAAAGGAAGATTAACCCAAGTTCTGAGGATAACGGAAAAATCTTTAAAAACCTTCACTTCCATTTCAAGAAAATCCCAACATGTTTGTTTTGTCCTCCATTAACCTCCCGCCTCCTCTAAAACAGTCCGTCAGAACAACTGTAAGGCTAAAAATATATCATTAAAAAATTATGTCACCTCGTTTCGTCCTAAATCATTGCATTCAACTTTAAGGTGAACCTTTAACCTGTTTTATTGAACGGAGTTCTCACCAGGATTTCTATATATATCATTTTTCTGCACCATCAAACCAAGTCAAATTACTTTTAAGTGTAAACTTATTCGGCAATGAATCTGATTCTGATACGATGGACAGAGTTGTTGCAAAAACCTTATTTGGGAGCCGATTTTCCAACACCTGCCCAATCAAGTGAGACTAAAGTTCAGCAGATGGTAATAGAGAAAATGATTGAATGTTTTAGAGCTGAAAAACAGGAATGCTAGAGATGAGCAACTGCTGTGGTATTCTGGTCAGATGTCTAGAAATGAGCAGAGCTGTTCACTTGTTGAGAACTTGAGATGTTATTCTCCTCATTTTGAGCAAATGTTCTCATATGTAACTAATTCAACGGTGAGGTTAATGTTACACTTCTGTCATGTTTTAACAAACATATCTGGTCAGAAACGAGATGGAGACCGAATTCCTTTCTCTGCTAAATGCAAACAGGCGGTAACTTCTGTTGTGGGCGATCAGGATAACATACAACTAAAATCCATCTGTGCAGGAAACAGAAACACACGTCCTGTCAGACCAATGAAGTCAGCAGTTCTATCAGTGTTTTAAAATAAAGTTGCTAAATTCCTCAGCGCAGCTAACTGATAACCTCATGGTAGGCAGCCATGTTTGTTGTGAATGAGGCTGGCCGGGTAGCATCTTCAACAGGTAGAAGGTTTCCCCTAAAGATGAACCTTCTTTCATTTTCATATTGAGAAGAAAGAGGGAAGCAAACAGAAAAAAAAGAAATAAATGGGATGGAAGAAATAAAAGGAGTAAAAAAAATATATAAAACCAAACACAGAAATAAATACATATAACAAATAATTTAATGAAGGTGAAAATTATAATGATATACCATAAAAATTGTATTATTATAAAGATTATTTAAAAGAAAAGCTAATAAAAATATATTCATACATTTATTTCAAACTGCATGATTTAATAGTTACATGTATTGATTTGATTTTGCCTGTATAATTGCATGCTAATATATTTATTGAGCATTTATGTATTATTTTTAATTATGTCATAGTTGGTCCTCTATATACCAGCAGACCAAGAGAAAACATTAATAATAAACTGATAAGTAAAATGAATAAATAAAGTTATGAGCAAATCAAAATATAGACGAAGATGTAAATACTGAGTAAGCTTTAATTTAATTTTGCAAAGTTTCATCATCATGACAAACATTTCTTATTCTAGTGTTTTCTAGAATATTCTTTTTGAATTCTGTTTATTTTCCTGTGTGACAGAATTGAACTTTGCTATTAATACATTTCACTATGATTAATGTGTCATTTATAGGGATGGGAATCGAAAACCGGTTCCTGTTCAGAACCGGTTCTGTGTGTTCTAGTTCCATGGCACCGTTCGGCAGCTCGCTCAACGATTCTCTTACGATAACCAGAGCCTAGCCCTGGGCAGCACGACTTACATCACGCTTTTTTAACACAATTTATGCACACGGCATTCAGTAAGCAAGTACGACGTGACCAGGCATAAGTCTAGAAAAGCAAAACAAAAGCGCTCAAAGAGATCGAAAATTTGGCTTCATTTAAAGGAAGAGAAAGATGGCAACAAGGTGCTTTTATTGCAAGAGTTGGAGAGTGGCATTGCAATCATTGCAAAGTGGCAATTACATGTGCAGGAGGAAATAATCCAACATGCAGAAACACCTGTGCACACAACATGGCATACATTTTAACGAATGTGGTGTTTTTGATGCTTCCAGACAGAAGCTAAAGTTACGACCAGCATGGAAGGCACCTCTGGTGGTAAGTAGCTAGTTTTATATCACTGACTGTGCTTCATGTGGTTCCTAGTAAATCAAATGCCATTTCTGGAAATAAACCAATTTCCTACCTCTCTTTGGGGTTATTAAGGGAGTGTGCCTTTCTCGTTAATCCCGCCCTTTATTGCTAGCATGTTTAATTAGAACTACTGGTAGCTGGAATTCTTACATGATTCTAGCTATTGCAATTAATTTAACGAAACATGCTACAAAGTTGCTCCGCAATTTTGGGAGCGAGAGAAAGATGACGCGCTTCCCTAAAAGTTAAAAAAAAAAATCCACTGGACTTGGTTTCCGAGATTTGAAGATGTTTCGCCACCTCTCCAGGAAGCTTTCTCAATTCAAATGTCAGACATTTTTTCAGGATTTTTTTTTTACTTTTACGGAATGACTATGACCTGGATGACTGAGAATCTGCATCAGCAAGATGATGCTCGTTTATGTAAATCAGGGGGAGATGAGTTTATTTCCCGAAATTGTACAGTAATGCTTTTTCATTAAAGGGATGTCTTCTCCATTAGATATAGATGACTGTGATGAGACGAGTAGCCTGGCTGGCTCAGCCTCTGGCAGCTCTCATTCACCACCTTCTGTTTTCACGGAGGTAGGGAGAAACAGAATGTCCCAGGCGAAGGTAGACGAATGTCACTCTGCACTTACCAAGTTCATTGTTTCACAGAATCGATTAGAGAATCGATAAGGAATCAAATCGTTTCACAGAATCGATTAGAGAATCGATAAGGAATCAAATCGTTTCACAGAATCGATAAGGGAATCGTGAAAATCTTATCAATTCACCCAACCCTACTCTTTTATTCTGTTTATTTCTACCTTTTATTCTGTTTATTTCTACCTATCAGATATCAGATAGTTTTTAAGCCAAAACATGAGAGCAGCAGCAAAGTTTGTGGATTACGTTCCAATCAGAACCTGAAACATCAGCCTGTGTAACAGGATTTTCATGCATTACTGTTGTAGCTTCAACATTCCTTCCAATAGCCCTGCAGCTGTTGCTGCCTCAGAAAAAATAAAACAAAAACCTTTGAACGACACAACATGCAAAACATGTATACTGATGATTAACTCAATTAGAGGTGTAAAAGGGAAAGCTGAAAACACAAACACCAAAACATTCAGTACCAACAGGCCTGTCCACATTTTACTAGACGGTTTGCATTCAGGAACAAAATTCACCCACAGTGGTGAGTTAATAACAGAGGCTGCGAAAGCAAAGAGCTTTGCATTTGTAGCGGCTCTCACCTGCTCTGGTTGAAGGTGTGGATCTTGACCCGGTGGTGATTGTACTTCTGCAGGATTTTCTTGGTGTCTTCGTCTGTGTTGAAGGAGTTCATGAGGACCAGAGGAACATCGGTGTTGTATGTTTTGTTCAGATGCTGTTTGGAGATAAAAGAAAAACTTCAAACTCTATACTGCAGGAATGATTAAACAGCATCCCATCCTCATGACCTTGGCACGTAACTTTTAGTGTCAGCAACCGTGCAGCTGAGAGTGTTTGTGCTTTCAGTTTGATTACCATTTTGGATTCCAAATAAATGCTATCTAGTTTTCTAATTTAGAAATAAAAGACATGATAATTTCATATCCCCTATTTCATCATTCTATCTCTATTCTCCCACTCTGCAGAACCTGTTAGTTCACACTCTAACACTATGCTCTGCTTTTTCTCATAGCATGCAATCAACTGGTTTTCCTTAGATAGAAAACTTTGAATCAATTTGACTGTATGATCTGGTGAACTGTAAAGTGGCTTGAGATGACGTGTTGTGAATTGGTGCTATAGAAATAAACTGAATTGAATTGATAAACTAAAAGTTTAAATTAATTCACAAAAAAATACTTTATAAATTAGTAGTATTTGTACTGTTAGAATTATTTAAAGATTTTATTTAAATAATGGAAAAATAAAAGAAATTGGGAGACGTTCTGGCTCTAGGAGGGGGACATTAAAATGATTCATGGGTCAGAAACAGATTCCAGATGTGACTCAATGGGGTGAAGCTGGGATGGGCGTGGCTTCCCACTTATAACAACTGAACCCTTGTAATGAGCTGAATTAATGGCCACCTTTCTATAGAAGTTTGTCCAAGTACCGTGGTCCGCCCCTGTGCACAAACACTTCCAAATGTTCTGCAAACACCTGAAACAAAAGCTTGATTTACACTTTTGCTCCGCAGTATGTTGACTGTAGGTGGACTGTGGAGGAGAGATGATGATCGCCACAAATAGAAACTGGACTCTTTTTTTCCTTTTGGAGTTTATTCTCACTACATTCATTTTTTACATTAATATATAAAATTTTAGTGCCGTGGCACCAATAAATCATAACTAGAACAAAACAGTTGTTATATCATAGCATAAACAGTCTTTTCTGATGCAAACAGAAAGTACTTTAATAAAAAAAGAAAAATGTACTGCCATATTTCAATAAGCCAGCTAAAGATGTTTATTACAATTCATATTTTTTCATTTAAAGCTTTTCAGCTTGGAAAATAATTTCCAAGGTTTTCTAAAATTATTCCCAAGTTAAGAAAACTATTTTTTTATGGAGTATGATGCAAAAATGTTTATTTCCATGATCAGGAATATATGCATTAGTCTCCTAGTGGAGTGTGTGCGTGTGTGTGTGTGTGTGTGGCTATGTCTTTAATACCTGGTGGGGACAATTTCCTAGGAATATGCTACATTTTGGGGACTCATAGGTACTTGTGGGGACCAACAACTGGTCCCCATAAGGAAAGTTTCTCTTCTTGAGGTGGGGTTAGGTTTAGGGATAGGTATGTGTCGGTAATGGTTAGGGTTAGGGCAAGGGTCATGGTTAGGCCATATAAATTAGTGGGAAATGAATGGAAGTCAATGGAAGGTCCCCACAAGGATATTGTGACAAACCATGTGTGTGTGTGTGTGTCTGATTCACTTTTCTCGTCCCTGAGCAGCAGTACTCAGACTGCAGGTAATCTGAGTCCACCTGGGCTGAAAGCTGGAGTTCATCATGTTTGGATGAATCTCTTGTTAAACATAAAACCCACTCAAATTCTGCTTTAATTTAAGCGTAGCTTAGCGTCTCTCTAAAAGCGGTGACCGATTAAGGTGTTTCACTGCAAATGTTCGCCCAGAGCTCGGCTGCAGCGCTGCAGGCTCCATGCGGGGGTCTAAATAGTCGGGTGCACTTCTCCTCAGGCACACAGCCGTCTCTGTTTCCCCCGCCAGGCGGATCCCCTTTCACAGCTTCTCCTCACCTACATCACACTGGACTCCTTTCAAAAATAATCAGCTCTCTTCCAACAGGGAAGCAAATATAAACTCATAACAGCCAGGAGGAACAAATCCACATCGTCGACATACAGGTGCTGGTCATAAAATTAGAATATCATGAAAAAGTTGATTGATTTCAGTAATTCCATTTAAAAAGTGAAACTTGTATATTATATTCATACATTACATACAAACTCATATATTTCAGATGTTTATTTTGTTTAATTTTGATGATTACAATTGACAACAAATGAAAATCTCAAATTCATCATATCAGAAAATTAGAATATTGTGAAAAGGTTCAAAATTGATGGCCCCTGGTGCCACACTCTAATCAGCTAATTAACTCAAACCACCTGCAAAAGCCTTTAAATGGTCTTTCAGTCTAGTTCTATAGGCTACACAATCATGGGGAAGACTGCTGACTTGACAGTTGTCCAAAAGACGACCATCGACACCTTGCACAAGGAGGGCAAGACACAAAAGGTCATCGCTAAAGAGGCTGGCTGTTCACAGAGCTCAGTGTCCAAGCACATTAATAGAGAGGCGAAGGGAAGGAAAAGATGTGGTCGAATAAAGTGTACAAGCAAGAGAGATAACCGCACCCTGGAGAGGATTGTGAAACAAAACCCATTCAAAAATGTGGGGGAGATTCACAAAGAGTGGACTGCAGCTGGAGTGAGTGCTTCAAGAACCACCACACACAGACGTATGAAAGACATGGGTTTCTGCTGTCGCATTCCTTGTGTCAAGCCACTCTTGAACCACAGACAGCGTCAGAAGCGTCTTGCCTGGGCTAAAGAGAAACAGGACTGGACTGCTGGTGAGTGGTCCAAAGTCATGTTCTCTGATGAAAGTAAATTTTGCATTTCCTTTGGAAATCAAGGTCCCAGAGTCTGGAGGAAAAGAAGAGAGGCACTTCATCCACGTTGCTTGAAGTCCAGTGTAAAGTTTCCACAGTCAGTGATGGTTTGGGGTGCCATGTCATCTGCTGGTGTTGGTCCATTGTGTTTTCTGAGGTCCAGGGTCAACGCAGCCACATACCAGGAAGTTTTAGAGCACTTCATGCTTCCTGCAGCTGACCAACTTTTTGGAGATGCAGATTTCATTTTCCAACAGGACTTGGCACCTGCACACAGTGCCAAAGCTACCAGTACCTGGTTGAAGGACCATGGTATCCCTGTTCTTAATTGGCCAGCAAACTCTCCTGACCTTAACCCCATAGAAAATCTATGGGGTATTGTGAAGAAGAAGATGCAATACACCAGACCCAACAATTCAGAAGAGCTAAAAGCCACTATTAGAGCAACCTGGGCTATCATAACACCTGAGCAGTGCCACAGACTGATCGACTCCATGCCACGCCGCATTGCTGCAGTAATACAGGCCAAAGGAGGCCCAACTAAATACTGAGTGCTGTACATGCTCATACTTTTCATGTTCATACTTTTCAGTTGGCCAACATTTCTATAAATCCTTTGTTTTTATTGGTCTTCAGTAATATTCTAATTTTCTGATATGATGAATTTGAGATTTTCATTTGTTGTCATTTGTAATCATCAAAATTAAACAAAATAAACATCTGAAATATATGAGTTTGTATGTAATGTATGAATATAATATACAAGTTTCACTTTTTAAATGGAATTACTGAAATCAATCTACTTTTTCATGATATTCTAATTTTATGACCAGCACCTGTAAACACATGCTTTAAGTTCACATGCTTGTGAATAAAATGGGGGTTTATTGGAAGAGGAGCATGCGTGCAATATGAGACAGTCAAACATGGAGAAGATGTTTCTGGTCGTTGAAGCTCTAATCAAAGCTCCAGATGTCTAAAGTCTAAAATATTGTTTTTAAATAGATAAATGAGATAGAAATATTTATAGTTTTAAGCTACGTTTGTGTTTTGGAGCTTATCCTCTGGGACTGAACTGGATGTTAATATTTTATGGCTGCAGAGCAGTCCTGTTCATCTCCCCTACGTCAAACGGAGAAAAAAGAACAAGCAGACATCCATTACAAGCGTTTAAAACTGGAACAGTTTCAAAGTTCTGCAGAGTTTGGAGGAACCGTACAGTCTTCAGTTTGGGCTCTGTTAGTAAAAATCAATGTCTTATTTCAGAGACTCTATCCTCCCTGGTGCAGCAGCAGACCTGCATGCCAGGATGAGGACATTTACATTTATAAATCTCTACCAGCTGTTTTTTTTTATCTTGTTTATTTCTTCTTTAATAGCTGTCCCACAATCTGGGATTAATACTTTATTTAGCATCTTTCTGGGGATGTTTCCTAGTACGCAGCATGTGGGCTCGTCTCTGATAACCCAACATGGGTTTGGGTTAATGTTGCAGAGGAATGATTTAATATGGAGGGAATTTTCTTCCGTTATTGTAGCAAGCAAATTTACAATATTTCCTTTTACCATGGCTTAGGAAAAAAATGCAATCCAGAAAAGAAATTTTTGGAAAAAAAGAAAAGATTTGGGAGTAAATTTGCTGTATTCTATGATTTTCTTTTTTCCATAATTTATTTCCTTGAAATTTTTTTTGCAACTTTTTTTTTTTTAAACTGTTTTTTCCCCCCTCATATTTCTCTTTTTTAGGTTTAGTTTTCCAAATTGCATTTTTTTCAAATTGTACTTTATGGATCACATGCTCTTCCCTTCTGCGGAGCAAAGAGGCATTTCTATTGGTCTGCTGGGCGTCAGCAATAACATTTTAAATAATAAAGTGAGCATTTGTATTAAGCATGAAGTGAAGCTGATCTTCAAAAGGTCATTTGAAATTAATACAATTTGCAAAAACTCAATCTAAAAGAATAAAAAAGATAAAATTTGAAAATATAAAATCTGTAAAAAAATAAATAAAGGTTAAAGAATGAAATGTTCTAAAATTGATTTTTTTTTTAAATATTAGTTATTTTTTAATAGAAAAAATGTCGATACAAGAAAACCTTTTAAATGAAGTTTTATTTCTGGATTGCATTTTCAAATGACGACGGACAAAACATGGGAAAAAAATTCCCTCCATAATTTAAAACCCTGTCTTTTAGCCACACAAGGATAAACCACAAGGAACAAATTTCAAATGTTTTCAGCCGATTCCATCCAAACTATTGAGCCAATAGAGAATGGATTTTGAGCTCCATGATGATTCCTAAAGAAGCAGCTGAAAAATGGCTACAGAGAGGCTGGTAGCCTGGAAGAACTGAAACTAGCAGCCAAAGATTGAGCAATGATGGCGTCACTGAGCTTATTCACCGTTTCCCGGTAAAGGCGGATCCACAATCAGGCTTGTTTGGTTTTTGTGCCTCGAGGAAAACCATTGTTGAGACTGCAGTCGCTCCCAGGAAAGCTAAACTTCTGTCAAAACAAACTGTATCTGAAAAAAATTTTAAAATTTAATGCCTAGGTTTAAAAACGAATATCATTAAACTAAAACTGAATTAATTTACTTTTAAACTTTGCAGGATTGAATACGGGATTGTTACATTTTACTTTCAGTCTAATAATTTAAATTTAAAAACTAAGACATTTTTAGTTGGAAATTGCCTTTCTTTGTGTCAGACAGTCAGGCCCTTAAACCCTGGAGTAATCGAACACAGATTCATGGATTGATATTTCAGATAAAATCTAACTAGTATATCACTTTAAAGGGGAATTTCAGATTTTTTATATTGGGCCCTTGATTTGACGTTATTACATCATGTTCTGCTCACCCATATGAGTTTTGTTCCGCTCCCAGAACTGGAGTTTTTTTTTTTTTTTTTCAAAAAAAACTTTATTTAACCAATGTAGCGGGCTACGCTCTACCTCTTATATATTCGGCTAGCTAATCTAAATCGTTCAATTCCATTTGGAGAGCGAGATCATCTGTGATAGCAGCACTAGACGTCTTCCAGGCTTGTGAGTAAAACTAGCAGCAGTTCAGTGGACAGGAAGAATGAATGTAGCCGGTGCGTGCGGATGATGTCATACGCGCGTTGCTTTGTTTTAAAAAAATATAAATATGAAAAATATAACCACGTATATCTGGGGGACATTGATTCGCCTACATGTTATGAGTGCTGGCGTACCATAAATGATAAATTATGAACAGTTTAGTTTGTGCCTTCAAGTTGTTGCCAACAGGAAGATGTTACTTGGATATAACCTAACGGAATATCTTCAGAACAGCTCCAAATGACACAAAACTCATGTGGGTGAGTAGAACATGATGTAATAACGCAAAATCAAGGGCCTAATGTAAAAAAACGGCGTTCCCCTTTAAGGTATAGTGGAGGATCTTTTAAAAGACCCGCCCTCTCCACTTTAAAAATATAAAATGCACATGCACAGCGCTGTACCCGCTCCCGAGAGGGAACGTATCTTAAACGCGTGCGAGAGCATGCACAAGGCCATTTCTCCTCGTGCACACTGTTTAAAAGTTGGTGTTCGCATCACTCATATACTTTCCATTTGCAATTTTTCCACTATGTAAGACTCACCACTGGTAAGTAAGTAAGGGAGGAGCACAAAGGACGGCCTTACGTAAACATATCACCAGAATGATTGACGATTAGTAGGTGATCCACCTGGAAAAAGAACTTCCTCCACTATACCTTTAACAAAAAAGTGACAGCTAGTCGTAGCCATTAGCTAACTATGCTAAATTAGCATAGTGTCACCGGTGTTGAGTTTTTTTGTGTTTTCCCATCAATATATTTGATTAATCAAATGTTTATTCCATCCATCAGGGTCATGTATTTGTTTTGTAGCCTCCATTTCTGTCTATAAGATCTATTGTTTGTAAATCAATCAGATCCTCCACTAATCTGCTCTGAAATCACTGCGGCTGTGCCGTTTACAGTCTCCTGTTTGTAGTGTCACCAATTGTTACCTAAAGAAATAAATAAACAAGCATGCAGTTTATTTACAGTAAAACTGTCTTTTATAACTTTAATGTGTTTTCGGTTCAATTTGCATGCTTTCTAAAACATAACAAAGCTTTGTTTCGGGCTACTCTAAAACGCTTAGGTCTCAACGCTATTTCAGACAATTTGAATTGAAAAAGTTCCTGCATGGATCAAACTTGGAATCAAAGTCCAGTGGATTGTTTTTAACTTTTTTAAGAATGTTCATTTACTTCATACTTTTTGGTTCCAAACGCAAAGGAAAAAAATAACCCTATAGTGCAAAAACAACGATAAACAAACAAAACTGCTTTAATAAAATAAAATCAATAAATTAAATTGTACCAAAACAGACATAAATAAATTAAGTAAACAGTAAAATATCAAGATTATCTTTGTTTTGAGGTTACAATAGGTCTTATTTATGTCTGTATGTCAATCTGGCCTTAAGGCTATTCATTTATTTTTTAATGAATAAATAATAAACTTCTAAGTGGTTAGAGATATTTTGATGTATTGAATGAATAACTTATGACATTGTGTTTTGTTTTCATTTACATAGAAATCCTTATACGTGCAAAAAAAAAGAAGAAAACACAGTGGGCTGCGTTTACACTCCAGTGATTAAGCTTAAAATGTGTTGAAAAAAAAGTTTAACCTTGAAACACCTCCATTTATCAATCCGTCAATCTGTGTTTGATTACCCTGCCCTGGTTGTCTGACACAAAGAAACCGAATGAAAGAAATTAGATTGGATTATAAAATGTACATTGCACCAAAATACATTTACAAAGAAAATAATTTCAATGTTCAAACTAATGGATTTAATGTCAGATTATGTGAATATAGATCCCAGTTAGGGAAATTTAAATATAATTTGTAAAGGCACAAATTTCTACACATAGAAGGCAGAAGAGTTTCACTCTTTCAGAGGCTGAATGCATCTCATCCAGACCTGTGGAGCTGAGCTGTGTTTACTTTAAATGTTTAAGAAAAATGATTAAAACCCCTGCATCATAAATGGAGCTTTTAACACATTAACTGCTTATCTGTGTTAAAAAAGTTTCCCTTAAAAGAGTTTTTGCACAGCTTCTGTGTGTGAAGAGGGACGGATCAGAAATGTTCCAGGTGGCTTGATTTCAGATCAACGAAAGAAAAATAACAATATTTACATTGCTCCCACTAATTAAACAGTTAGGTAGAGGTTCGTGTTGGCTGCTAAAGAAGAGGAAGACAGAAAGGATGGACAGGTGAGGGAAGAGATCTCGCACCTCTATCTGCTGCACGGTGAGATCCAGGAAGGTGTTCTCGTTGCGGACGCTGATCAGGCTCTTGGGGCCCTTGCACCCCATGCTGGTACCCAGACCTCCGTTCAGCTTCACCACCACCAGCTTGTTCAGGCTGTCGGCCACGCTGTCCGGCAGACCTCTTGCTGCGATCTTATCGTAGGGCTGGATCTGAAGGAGGGAGACGGACGGAAGATCAGATCTCTTCAGAACAAAATTATGGGCCTGTTTCTGTTGGCATGATTCGAAGCACTTAAAGAGCTACGCTTCTTTTGGAGCAGAGCTTTGTATCAATCTGCAGACCTCCTCTGCCTCATACATTTCAATGCCGTAGCATTGAAATGTATGAATCTGATTTTTAAAAATGTTTTAGGATATTTTTGCTGAATTAAACATCTGTTTCTTAATTATTTAAATTAGGTAGCAAAGAAAAAAAATAAATGTTTGGATGATCTGTTAGTAACTTTATCCTCGAGTCAAATAAAGAAAGCTTTGACTTTAAGGACATTATTATTAGCAAATTTGATTATTTTTAAACCAATTTTGGTCACTTTTTAATCGAGACATCTTTTGGAAATATTAATAAATATGAAATGTCTACATTTACAAATGTAGTGCTTTCAAAGAAAAGGAAAATGCAGCTAGGATGATTTTCTGGATGAAATTTTATTCCATCATTGTTTGCAGCAAAGAATACATTTTGTAAATAGAAATAATAATAAAAAAGATTAAAAAAACCAATAGAAAAAGGTCTCTGCTCTTCACTCCAGAGGAAATCCGACCTCAGAAGTGAAGAGAACCTGATCTGGAAAACGCGGTTTGAAAAGAAGGCAATTTGTCAAATTCAATCTGAAAAAAGAGAAATTTGAAAATTCTGATGTTAAAATAAATGTGATAAATTAAAGTAAGCACATGTAAATAAGATCTAAGAAAAGAAAGGTCCATTGTTTTTCATTAAGGAGTTTCCATTTGGAAAATTACAACAATAATGGAACAAAATAAACTTAATTTATCTAAAAAATAAAAAAGCTTCTCTATTAATCCATTTCAAATAGACAATAGGCACTCATTCGCTTCCTTAAGGTCAATCTAAAAACCTGGAAAATCACATGAACAAATCTAAACAAATGTCAGGAACATGAAGTTTTGCTGACGCTTCTAGGAAATGATCATTTCAGGAGTTAACCATGAAATAACCTCCAGGAAGTGAGATGATCGTTTGGACGTGTTCCTCTGCAGTCAGGTAGTATCAGCCTTCAGGCATCATCGGTTCTACCAAAGGAGCGAGGCTGCATTTTTCAGGACCTGCCCACATCGTTGATACTGAGTAATCACATTGGATTTCAAGCTTGATTTAATCCACTCTGCTTCATAATTACTTAATCTTCACTAATTAGAAAGTGGGTTGTTTTTTGTTAGCAGGCTGAGGAGAGACTGAGTGAAGGAAGACTCATAACAACATAAATAGCATTGATGTTAAAGAAGTGGACCAATGGGAAAAATATGATACATCCTCCAGTCTTTCTTGGTCTACTTTGCGTAACCTGAAATACTGGAGCCCAGATTGAAGATGAAATTTAACAGCATCGGCTGTTCCGACTAAGAGCAAAGCTGTTTTTCCGGTTAGTACACGGTCTCAATGTGTTTATCAGAGTGAAACTTAACCGGACCTTTTTCTGATTGTTATCTTCTGAAGGATTTCCTGCTTTTTGCAGAAGCAAACTTTTGTGATGGAACCTTTATCCCATCCTACCACATGATAATAACACAGAGTCAGTTCAAACCATAATCAGATAGCCAAAGGTTCCTTAAAGAAGATTTTTACTAAACTAAAGCAGGTAAAAATAAAACTTGAGCATATTGATAGAAGAGAAAGATATATTATTTTTTTTATCTTAAATGCAAAAAGTTTACATATTTTACTTACAATCTTGGTATAATTGCTGCTCTAAGTGGGTTGCTCTTTCCGCTAAATGCACGTTTTAGAGTTTCTATATTCCAGTTAACGATTAATCGATTACTAACTTAGTTACCTATAGTCACCTATAAACTGAAAATGTAAACCAATTGATTTTAAACAAATTCGAAACAAGCATTTTATTTTATTTTGCATTTATTTACAATTCCTATATGGGATTGCATAGGAATACAAAACATTTGCTAAATTATGTTTCTTGCAAAAATTTTTGTTGTGCAATTTTTATCTTAAATGCAAAATATTTACATATTTTTCTAACAATCTTGGTATATTTGCTACTCTAAGCTGGGTTGCTCTTTCCGCTAAATGCACGTTTTAGTCTCTATATTCCAGTTAACGATTAATCGATTACTAAATTAGTTGACAATTATTTCATAATCGATTAATCAGCTCTAGTTCCAACTGAAAAAGGAACTTTAATTAATAAATGACAATGTTTGCACTTCGGCCGATACAAGAGAACAAAACAAAATAGAAAAAATCTAAACATAATATATCGGTATTGGTCCACCTCCAGAAAGCGATTTTATTTTTTGTTCTCTACAAACACTCAACCTTTAGATTTTATGCATTTCAGGCTTTCCTGACACTTTATAATAAGATTATAGTTTCTAACTTTTGCTTTTGTTTTTGCATCAGTCACATATGAGCAACACATCCTGAAGAGGTGCTTCCAGAAAGATACCGTTAATATATAATCCTGAAATAGATCCAAGCTAAATCCGGTCAGATTATTGATTAAAGCAGATTAATCTGGACTTACCGAGTCTTCTGGAGGCCTCTTGATCTTGATCCACTCCACAGACGGACCTTTAACCTGCAGGAATCTGTGGAAGAGGTTCTTGAAACCCTCAAAGTCCTTCTTACAGACCTGAAGAGGTAGAAAGGGGAAAAAAAGTCAAAACTTCACTTTTACTAAAAGAACAACTTTCTATAGATGCAATGAATCATTTCAGCTTGAAATGTAGAAAATTAACGACTTATAGATCAAAAAATAAATGCGTTTTCGGTGTAATATCTACAGAGGATTTTGTTTGATTATTTTATGGTTTAAAACGTTTTTGGTTTGTTTCATTTTTAGCTTTTGTCTTTAGGAATAACATAGAGAAGCAGATTATTATAATTTTTGTGATATAAATCATGGTAATCAAATGAAAAATAGAAATATTACATCATATTTAACCCATGACTTAAAAGGAAATGTGCAACAAACAGATTAATTCATATAAATTTTTTTCGATTTTTACACCTATAAACTGAAAATGTAATTTTAAACTAATTCGAAACAAGCATTTTATTTTATTTAGCATTTATCTACAATTGCTACATGTGATTGCATAGGAACATAAAACATTTGCTAAATGATGTTTTTTGTGCATTTCCTTCTATTAAAAATATAATACGTAAAAAACTGTTTAGTTTGTTTTGCCTGATGCTCATTACTGCCCCCTGAAGGTCTGAAAGAGGCTGCAGCCAACGACGACGTAAAATGTGTACTTTACACAAGATTTACTTTACATAAATTAAAACAAAAATACTGGAGTTTTTCTTTCAGCTTCCATGTTGTGCTCTGACATCTGACTCTACAGGTGCTGGTCATAAAATTAGAATATCATGAAAAAGTAGATTGATTTCAGTAATTCCATTTAAAAAGTGAAACTTGTATATTATATTCATACATTACATACAAACTCATATATTTCAGATGTTTATTTTGTTTAATTTTGATGATTACAAATGACAACAAATGAAAATCTCAAATTCATCATATCAGAAAATTAGAATATTACTGAAGACCAATAAAAACAAAGGATTTATAGAAATGTTGGCCAACTGAAAAGTATGAACATGAAAAGTATGAGCATGTACAGCACTCAGTATTTAGTTGGGCCTCCTTTGGCCTGTATTACTGCAGCAATGCGGCGTGGCATGGAGTCGATCAGTCTGTGGCACTGCTCAGGTGTTATGATAGCCCAGGTTGCTCTAATAGTGGCTTTTAGCTCTTCTGAATTGTTGGGTCTGGTGTATTGCATCTTCTTCTTCACAATACCCCATAGATTTTCTATGGGGTTAAGGTCAGGAGAGTTTGCTGGCCAATTAAGAACAGGGATACCATGGTCCTTCAACCAGGTACTGGTAGCTTTGGCACTGTGTGCAGGTGCCAAGTCCTGTTGGAAAATGAAATCTGCATCTCCAAAAAGTTGGTCAGCTGCAGGAAGCATGAAGTGCTCTAAAACTTCCTGGTATGTGGCTGCGTTGACCCTGGACCTCAGAAAACACAATGGACCAACACCAGCAGATGACATGGCACCCCAAACCATCACTGACTGTGGAAACTTTACACTGGACTTCAAGCAACGTGGATGAAGTGCCTCTCTTCTTTTCCTCCAGACTCTGGGACCTTGATTTCCAAAGGAAATGCAAAATTTACTTTCATCAGAGAACATGACTTTGGACCACTCACCAGCAGTCCAGTCCTGTTTCTCTTTAGCCCAGGCAAGACGCTTCTGACGCTGTCTGTGATTCAAGAGTGGCTTGACACAAGGAATGCGACAGCAGAAACCCATGTCTTTCATACGTCTGTGTGTGGTGGTTCTTGAAGCACTCACTACAGCTGCAGTCCACTCTTTGTGAATCTCCCCCACATTTTTGAATGGGTTTTGTTTCACAATCCTCTCCAGGGTGCGGTTATCTCTCTTGCTTGTACACTTTTTTCGACCACATCTTTTCCTTCCCTTCGCCTCTCTATTAATGTGCTTGGACACTGAGCTCTGTGAACAGCCAGCCTCTTTAGCGATGACCTTTTGTGTCTTGCCCTCCTTGTGCAAGGTGTCGATGGTCGTCTTTTGGACAACTGTCAAGTCAGCAGTCTTCCCCATGATTGTGTAGCCTATAGAACTAGACTGAAAGACCATTTAAAGGCTTTTGCAGGTGGTTTGAGTTAATTAGCTGATTAGAGTGTGGCACCAGGGGCCATCAATTTTGAACCTTTTCACAATATTCTAATTTTCTGATATGATGAATTTGAGATTTTCATTTGTTGTCATTTGTAATCATCAAAATTAAACAAAATAAACATCTGAAATATATGAGTTTGTATGTAATGTATGAATATAATATACAAGTTTCACTTTTTAAATGGAATTACTGAAATCAATCTACTTTTTCATGATATTCTAATTTTATGACCAGCACCTGTATTGCAAATCTCAGTGAAATTTAATAAAATCCAAAGATTGACAGAAATGTTTGATTTTTCAAGTGAAACAGCCTCAGTAGGCGTAACCCTGCTCTGTGTTATGCTACACTGTGTGTCACATTTTAAGGTTTCCCAGCATTGCATGGCGTCAGCTCTTTTAAATCACAACCAGATGTACAGAGAGAGAGAGACAGAGAGGGAGGGGTGAAGACAGGGTGTTGACGTACGTCTCTGTCGGCCCCTGTGACCGTGTCCACCAGTTTCTCCAGCTCGGCGTCCATGGAGCTCTCCAGCTGCTGGCGCATCATTTCCTGAAACTGAGCCATGCCTTTGTGGGCCGATCTTCCACTCAGACCTGAACAAACAAGACCAGCAAAAAAGAAAACATATTTCAAACTTCCACCTCATTTTATAAAAGATCAGTGGCATTTATTAGAGTATTACTAGTGGGGATTTTACCCACTGCTCCGTTATTAGGAGGCTGGTTCTTCTGAACACCGTCGCTCTGACAGATAACTTTGGCTGTGAGACGTTTAAACAATGATTTACTTCTTCAATCATTTTTTTTATTTGCTGTTAAATACAGCACATCATATAAAATCCTACTTTGTTGCCTTAAAACCGCCCGTTTGGCGCCCTCCTCAGCTTAAAAAGGGGTTAATGCAAGTGGGGATGTGATGTAACTTAGGAGGATCAGCATCAGCAGCTCCATCCTGATTTGCTAAAGAACTGTCTATAAATGAAATGATTTTGTAATTACAGAAAATTAAACTAATTACTGTAATCGGTTTCTCCATTTTAAAAGTTGATATGAAATAGTAAATTCATTTAAATTGGTAAAAACACATCTGGATCATCTGTCCTTTCTAGTTTGATTATTTGACTCTTTTTTTTATGTCAGTCAGTCACATGAACTAAAACTATTGTGTATAAAAAATAAAATAAAATTAAAAACAAAGATTGAAAAGGAAAAATAATATTTTCAAAAATGCATCAAAATTGGATCAAAGGGAGTGTATCTCATCTGTCTGGTCTAAAATAAAGATGCCGTAGAGGGTAGTGTCGACTCGGTAACTGATTGAAATGTTATTGTAGGACCGTAAAAGAGAAACCAACACCTTGAAACAAGAAAGGATTGAAGCAATGCCAGAAACAAAAAAAAACAAAAAAAGGGCAATGCTGGAAGAAAAAACAGAATAAAAGTCTATAGACTCATAAAGTCCTAAAAATAAAGACTACTCTAAGCTAATGATGCCAACAGATCATTTACAAGCTACTGAATCCAAGGGTGTATTTTATTTTTCCCATAAAGTAATCTTGTCTTTTTAAGGCATTGAGAAAAAAGGGTTGTGACACTGCAATAAGGTGGCATTTAATAGCTGCACTTTGTTCTATACATTAGAATTTGTTGACATTTCTATCCTGCATTTGTTTAACTTCAGCCATCTGTGACGACATCTTTAGATCCAGCAGCATAAAGTTTATGCCAAACATTGGATTTATTACATCTGTGTATTGATGTTTGGGAACTGAGGAGTTAACCTATAACTTTTATAATAGACAATAGTTTTAGAGCCTCATTTCACTGCTTTTCTCCATCTGGACAGACTTGAATGAGCTCCATTTTCCCATCTGATAACAAGGGTTCGGTATTTTCGCCAAAGTCCTGAATCAATTCGATTTTGATTCATCAAGTTCAAAATTGATTAATTTCGATTCGATCTGTTTTTACAATAATGAAAGTGGTTCAACTGTGTTTCAAAATACTCATGTATTTTCTTTTTTTCCTGTGACATTAAACACAAAGTCCAAACTTGTAAATCAGACAGTTTAAGCTTGAGATGTGAACAAAACTGTCTCATAAGTGCAAACTTGTTTGTGAAAAGTGAAAAAGTAAGGCCGCAGTCGTGACACAGCGGGTACACAGTAGACATGCATGAGCTGCATTATCTCCAATGCACAAACCATATTTGCAGCGTTGTCTGTAGCGTTGACGTAATCTTGAGTGCATATTGCCTGTTCATTTGAATGTGATCGTCACGTGCGTCACTATAAAAATAATCGATCTCATTCCCTAGACATCGATTCTGCAAAAATGTAAATGAATCCATTTAAAATCGATTAAATCGATTTTTTTACCCAGCTCTACTGATAACTGGTAAATTTATTTCAAGAAAAATGTTTAAAAAGTATACCTTTTAAGGATTTTTCTTTGCGATTTCAACCCAATTTAAGAACCGATGGTTGCCTAGAGCACATCCAGGCAGTAATGTTCTAAACAGTTTGTGTTTTTGCCTGATCGATATACAGAAAACCAGATGTTTTTATTATTAAACCAGATCTTTTTATTATTCTATTGTTTTCTGTGGCCAATGTGTAAAGAAAAAAGATCTCAAAACTGAGAACGAAACATCGCATTAGAAGACACCTTTAGAAGATGTGCTCTTTTTCATCCTCTGATATGCGAGCTGGCTCGGAGCTCGTCTGCCTGGCTGTGTGTTTCTTGGACGGTGCCGCCTGTGGAGCTGGTTTACAGTTACGTTTTGCATCTCTGCTTCTTTTTCTATGTCTGCTTCCGTCTCTTTAAACCCCAGTTGGCCTCAGCAGAGTTTTCCTCTCTACTGTCGCTACAAGCATGCTTAGTGTGAGGGACTGCCTTCGAGTCAGTGAGTCGATGCAATCTACTGGTTTTCCTTAGATAAAAAACTTTAAATCAATTTGACTGTATGATCTGGTTGAATTGTAAAGTGCCTTGAGATGACATGTGTTGTGAATTGGCGCTATAAAAATAAACCGCTTCGAATTTTAAAAAGGAACAGAGATGATTACAGAACTCCTTATCATCCAACAGTTTTGATTTATTCCTTTCAGCTACTGATGGCATTCGCTTATCTTGTTCAAATATCCTTACGGGCTGCCAAAATCCAGATATCTAGGGTGAAGTAAAACCTTAGGCAACAGGACCGGGTCAACGTTGCACATTTGCACATAACTTTAGAATCTGTTTGCTTTCAGGATGTGTTAAAATGGGGAACAAACCTTCGCCAGGTTTAACGTTCAGGAAACATTTGTGAAAGACAGAAATGAGTCGTTCTAACAGTTCGGCTGCTAACATGCAGCTGTAATCTGTTCTCTATACATAGAGCAGGGAGCAAAGGTATGAAGATTATTTGGGTATGATTAACATGCCATTCATAATTACACATCTTATCTTAGTCACAAACGCAGTTTCACCTATAAAAGACAAGTACCTCAACGACCAAAGGAAATAAATGACACTCCTCACTTGATAATTCAAGGAGTGGGGAGTGTTCTCCTAGTGGTTAGAGGTATGCGCTTGTGCTCTGAGAAGGTTGCAAGTACCAGGTTCGACATCCACAGCCTCCACTCTTGGTCCCTGAGCAAGACCCTTAACCCCACATTGCTCCACGGGCGCAGCACAGTGGCAGCCCACTGCTACACAAGGGGATGGGTTAAATGCAGAGAGTGAATTTCTCCATTGTGAGATCAACAAAGTTCTATTTCTATGTGTAGAAAGAAGTGTGTTAAAGATTTCCCACTTTCTACTGTAGCCCCACTTTCTTTTTTATGTGCTGTTTTAACATCTATATCGCTGCCAATAAACTAACAGATCAGAAACGCAGTGGAGGGCTGCTTTAGATCAGCACCGTTTCATCAGTTTGGTGGAAAGAACAAGACGTCCTGATGGCTGGAATACAGAAGATGCAGTTTGTGGCCAATATGCTGATGGTGGGAAACCGTTTTCTAAACTTAACTAGAACCAGAACCGAGCCTTGCTTTCCTTTGCTCTCTTTGGGAGTAAATGTGCAAAGAAATATTTACTACAGAACATCTAGTCTCCTTCAGAAATATTTCAATGGTTACTGGCTAGTGATGTTAGGAGTAAATATGGCAGGCGGCGTTAACATTAAATCATCTTTACCAGTATTAAGTTACAGACATATTGAACTGATTTTTGATCTGCTATATTAACCTAAAAATATATGTCTGATTATGGTATACCGGTAACTGGAATAAATGATCTTATCATTCAAGAGACCTTAAATGTATTTTCAGGTACCCGGAACTATGATTTGACAAATACAGATATCCCAAAGGCAAAGAATAGCTCCATTTACTCTGAAACCGATCCGTGCCGAGTTTGGACCAAGCTTGGATCAGTTAACCATGCCGAGCTTAATTCCTTACGACCATTTACACACCACGCTAGCACGGTTCCTCGCCTCCTACTGACCATCTACGGTACTACTGCTCTCTAGTGGGAAACAAGCAAATCAAGATGGCTGATCATGTGGCACCGTAGGGAAGCTAGTATTTTTATGAATGTCTGAAATTTCCTGATTACGGAGGCTGACTGTAAGTAGACGGCGGTTTGCTGATGCGCCCTTTGTTATCTGAGAACCGTCCCAGAACTGATCCGCGCCAAACCCTACTGATGAACTAGTACCAGTTTAGCGCGGTTAGGTCTAGGCCTGTCACGATAATCAATAAAATAATTAATCGCACGATAAATAAAAACTATCCACGCCATTTAATTTATCGGCTATATCGTCTCTGTCTGTGTTTTTCTCTTTCTACTGATGACGCTGGATGAAAAGGTATAACTCCGTTGCTATCCACTGACCCCTCCCCTTCCTCATTTTTGAGGAGGGAGGAAGAGTGGACTATCGCATCAGGTAGTCAGCGCGCATCATTTTGTACTTCTGCAGCTTTAGAGCCCCGTGAGGAGTTAGCGATGTAAAAAAAAACACATCTTATGTTGGGGGGAAAAGCTCGAAATGGAACTGGTTTGAAAGCCGAGCGCAACAGCCGCAGTGTGGGAGTATTTCGGATTCAAACCAAATGACCGAGGCGAACCACTGAACCTATTCGAGCCAGTATGTCACATTTGTCGTAAAACAGTAGCAGCTAAGAGCAGCAATAAAACCAACCTACACATGCACCTAAAGCACAACCACCCAGCAAAGTTTCTCCAGCTGGAAACAAAAAGTACAAGCGTTGGCCTGTCTGCGTATTCAACTTCGCAACAGTCCACCATCACTGAAGCAATTAATCGACAGGAAGTATACAAAAAGGACGGCGCAAAGTGGCGCGCGCTCACAGACAGCGTAGTTAATTTAATTGCTAAAGAGATGCTTCCATTTAATATTGTTGAATAGCCGGCATTTCGAAAAATGTTGCAGACATTTGATAGACAGTATGAACTCACAAGGAAAACATACATATCACAAACGTGATATGTTGTACATACGTTTTTATTTCCACTGTGTTTTTATTCAAGTGTATTTTAAGTTAACAGAGACTGAGAGTCCATTTGATTTTTATTTCTCGTTT